CAGCCTTCTGAGATTTTGGAAGTCATCAGCAAAGCTTGATGTCTGCTGTGCTTATGTAGTGGATAGGACACCAGACAGCATATTCTGGTGAGGATATTAATCAGTGGATGATTAGATATGTATGGCCATGTATGAGTTATTCTCAGGCTTAAAAATATCATTGCTCATTTGCCTACTAAAATGGCTAATGTAAATGTTTATGAAGGGAAATTATAAATCCTGCATGTGATCTTTCATGGATTCGAAAAGTCAAGCCAAATGGGCAGTAACTTGGTTCATTGAGGATTTGAACCCAGTGCTTGATTTTAATGTGTACCAGGATAGAATCTAGTGGCACTGGGTTCCTAAGGTGGGCATACCAAAGTAGCACAGTCTGGGTGGTCTAAATAATAAATGTTTAACAGTATGATGGCACCCATCTGTAATCAGAACACTTGAGAGTCTGAGGCAGGAAGATCATGAGTTCAAGTCCTGCTATGGCTCCATTGTAAAACCCTGTCAAAAACAAAAACAACAAAAATCCACATGTCTTTATTTAACAACAGGTTCAGAAGCCAGACATTTGAGTACAAGTCCTTCTTAGAGGTAGGCTCCCTTTGAAGGCTCCATGGAAAAAGCTGGTCCATTCTTTTTTCTTACATTCTTGCTTTGCTAAGTACCCAGGTAAACTATAGCTTGTAGATGGATTACTTTTAATCTCTGCTTATTTCAGGATATAGAATTCTGTGTGTCCATTTCTGTGTGACTTTTCTTATAAGGACACTGGCCACATTAGTTTAGAGGGTCTCACCTACTCCAGTTTGAGATCATCCCAGGTTTCATTATGTCTTCAAAAACCTCATTTCTAAGTAAGACTAAATTCTGAGGGTTCTGAGAATGATGTGGATTTGGAGTGTTTCAGTTTTATTCTGATTCACTGTGATGAAAAACAAACAGACAAACAAACAAAACAAAAACAAAAATCTAATTAAAAACAACTTGAGGTGGGGAGGTTTTATTTAATTTACACTTCCAGGCCACAACTCATCATTGAGAGAAGTCAGAACTGGAACTTAAGGCAGGAACCTAGAGGTAGGACCATGGAGGAACACTGCAGGCTGGTTCACTGGCTTATACTCAGCCAGGGTTCTCCTACAACCTAGGACCACACAGCTGAGGAAGCTGTGCCTGGATACACCAACTAGTCAAGACTGTCCTTTACGGACATGCCCATGGACCTTGATCTATGCAGTTCCTTAAAGAGAAGTTTCAAAGAGAACCCACCTCTAAGGAGGTCTGGAACTCAAATATCTGGCCTTTAGAACTGTTGGAAAATAAAGATCTGTGGATTTTTATTGTTTCTGTTTTTGACAGGGTTTTACAGTGGAACCCCAGCAGGCCTTGAACTCATGATCTTCCTGCCCCAGACTCTTTAGGGTTCTGATTACAGATATGTGCCACCACAGTATGCAATTAAGGTTTCTTTACTCAGATGGCTCTTGGCTGTGTCACATTGACAATAAAGGCTCCCCAGGATGTTGGGAAGACATTTTTCAGACCAGCAGAGCTGTGACATCTGGTGTGGAGACATGTGCCTCCTACCTGTGCCTCAACCTGCACTGGTATGCCCAGATATCCACCTACTCATTTGACTCCTAGTGAAACTGTGTAGAACTATATCACAAACGGCATGGGATAATCCATCCATTGTTCAATACTACACCCTCCCCTGCAGTTTTGGAAACATCTGTGCCCTCACAACCTTCTAAAATGTTTCTTCATCATGGAGAAAAAATGTGATCCTCTTTAGTCAAAGGAGGGAGAAGAAAAAGAGAAACCACCTCCCACTCCTGGAAATGCACAAAAAGAAAACCTATTCTATTGTTTACCCAGGTCAGGTGCAGAGCCCTCTGTCTCTTGATTGCTGCAGGGAGTATACAAGGGAGGAGGGATCAACTCTCCTATTCTCATGCCCTCAAGGATGGCTCACCTGCACCCCGGATAACACGGTCAGCTTTAGTGTGCTGCTCAGGTGGGGTACATGGCTCGGCCGCAGATGGTGGGGGGCAGGGCTAGTTCTCTTACTCATGTGATGCCAGGGCCAGCTCTTTCACCTCCCACAGTCATAGATAAGGAGGGTGGTGGAAGTGTATGCTGAGAGACCTGCACTTCCCTGGCCTTCCCTATGGCCCGTCCATTTGTATGCATCATTCTGGAGTCTCTATGCCAAAACTATCCTTGCCTCCTCTGCCACCAAGGAAGGTGTTTTCTAGGCTGGGGAAGGGTTTGGTCTTCAAACTCAAGTGGGAAACATGAATTCTCTGTGGATCACAGTCTCCACCCCAGATGAAGCTGGACCAGGCCAGAGGGAACCTGGTGATGCCACCCTTGGCAGGCATCACTGATGGGTGTTGAACTCCCAGCAGGGGCACCAGGTGCTCTTTTGCTTGGGCACTCTTAGAACAGGCCTTCTGGTTTGAGTGTGGGTGAGCCAAATCTGAAAGCCTGAGAGCAGGAGAACTATCCCAGTGTCTTGCTGCAGTGTTTTGGGTGAGCTAGCCAAGGCAGTGCTGGAGAGCTTGCCCAGGTAGTGACAATGAGGGAAAGCTGGCACATTGGCTAAAACAGCTAACACCCAGACCCAGAACCAGGGTTGAGACACCTCACCCCAACATCCATCTCATCTATTGACTGTTGGAGCATGATGAAGGAACTGCACCTGGAGATCCAAAGCTGCAGCATCTCCATGACAACAGGCAACAACAGAACATCCAAGAGGACCCTCAGTATGGATACTGTAGCAGAAGCCAGAGGCCTCTAACTAGACGAATGACTCAGCAATGAACACTTAGAGATGAATGGGATAGAAGAAAAATTTTGTGACTCAGTGGGCCACACTACAGCTTCCATAATGAGATTTTTCTTCTTCATCTCCTCCTCCTTCTCCTGTTCCTCCTTCTCTTATTCTCTTGTTTTTGTTTGGTTTGTTTTTTGTTTTCTCTTTTAATGTTTTTTTTTTGGGGGGGGAGGGAGAGGTTACAGAGGTTGAGGGAAGATGTAATGGGATGAGGAGATATTTGGGATCAGGATGCATGATGTGAAATCCACAAAGACTCAATAAAAAAGAATTAAAAACATATTCTATGAAAGTGAAAGCATTCCCCGGTTCAGTAAGAGTTTGGGGGGGTTTATTACAAAAGCAGAAAGTTATCCAAGTTAACATCATGTCTTACTGAGGTTTGTCCAGACTGTGCCAACTGAGGGAAGAACAGAGAAAGTAGTCTAGACATTAGAACAGTTTTTTGTTTCCCCTTTGTGAAGGGCTAAGATATGAATCAATACTGGAAGGAATTAAGAAAATACCTGTCTCCCACTTCTCATAGCAAGTGCTCACTATCCAGGTCCTATATTATAAGGATATTTGCATTTCATAGCTATGTTTCAGTGGAAAACTGTATCCCACTCTCAGGATTTCTAGCCAATAAAATATATATTTTAGAGAGGAGTTTATTGAAAACCATCAGTTTATAAATGTTACATAAAACATTCATCCCTTACTCAGCAGAACTGGTAAACTCTTTTCATTCTTTCCTTTTCTCTCCCCCTTCCCTCACTTCTTCCTATCGCCTGTCTCCCTCTGCCTTGCCTGCTCTCTTGACAGGTTCTCATTCTGTAGCCCAAGATGCTCCAAAATTCAAAATCCTCCTCCTGTCTTAGCCTCCCTGGTGTTAAATGCCACAGACATGCACCGCTGGCCCTGGTAGGAAAGAAGTTTTGTTTACTTATTACCAACTGCTGCTGAGTTGTCTTAGCACATACTTCTCAGGAATTAAATCTCGTGCTATCATTTTTGAAAGTCTAAAAATTCTGAGTTGTCTACTTCCTGGAAATTTAACACAAGGAGAGGAATGTTACTGGTGCAAAGCATCTCCATGACCTATTCTTCCATGACATAGATATTTCTGCCACATAGTGATAGAAGAATCAGATAACTGAAAAATAAAAGACAGATCATCCACAGAGCTTATGTCTAATGCTTCCCCATATAGTAAAGAGCTGAGTCTTAATCAATCTTCATATTTCTCAAAGTTTCAAAGGGCTGGGTTATTATTGTTTGAAGTAACAATGAGAAAATTTGACTCAAAGTAATGAAAGTAAATCCATTTATGCTATACCTTTTAATATTAATTCTAATACATAATTTTAGTTGGGGAAAGATTAAAACAATGATTTAAAGTTTGGAGCATGACTTAGAGATTTAAAAAAATAACTTGTCTAGTATGCACAAGGCCCTGGGTGTAATCCATAGCAACACACACACACACACACACACACACACACACACACACACACTAATGGTAATACAAATAAATAAAGCAATGATCTTTTAAACATATAACTTCATTTCCTATACATTTCTTCACAATTCAAAACAAAATTGCTTCAAGTAGACATTTAAGAGTATAGCAAAAAAATAATACCAAGAAAAAGATACTATTCACAATTTTCTGAGTCATATATTATTTTGTGTGCTCTTTCAGACAGCACAGATGGTATCTGTAGAATATTAATGTGGTTTCATATTTTCTTTGTCATTTTCTATATTTAATAAAAAAGCAGCACAGTCTTCCATTGATATTAGTTATGTCCTTCACATTCCCAACATATTATGAATATTTTCTTCCACAATATATTTTCAATGGGTAATTCACATGCTCCACACTTCTCTAAAATTTTCATTGTATTACTAAAATCACATGGAAAGATATCTCTACCAGCACTGAAAGATCAACATTTCTTTAAACTGCTTTAGTGCAGTGTTAATTTGGTGCCTAACTGTCACGAAAATTTCATGGCCAAGTTCATGGGAAGAGAGACTACCTCTTGATATAATCACACATATTCATTACTTAGGAATGGGATTCATTTAGAAGTAAATGCTATTCATCTGAATCTCCCAGTTGCTGTATATTTAGATATGAAACTAATGTCTGCTCCTATTTTCTGAAGGAATCACTTACCTCCAGAAGCACACTCAGGGGTAAAAGTGATGTCATCAAGAGCAATAAAGATGTCTTCCTTTTCACCCAAGTCAGCCTCAAATGCCACCTTGAATGGACTGTTACTAGAGAGAGGTACATGTGCGTAGGTCCATCCAGTGTTTTTATTTTGCATCATGGACCACATAAGGATGTTTAGTCCCGATTCCTCAATGATATACACCTAAAACAATAACCAGAGAAAATAACTTTTGTGGTTGGATGTTAGAGGTATATTTAAGCATCTTCAAAATAATTGATTTGGATTATTCAAGTTCATTTACTAACCAGAGTAATATATACAAAATCTTTAACATTACAACAGAAAATCTCCCTGCATTAATTACATCAATATTCAGCATTAAACACTGAAGCGAAATGACTGACATTCGTAAGAAACAAGACAGAACACTTTTTATTATAATATTATAGTTAAGGTTTTTGACAGATTAACTCTCCAGTACTTAGTTACATGATATCTATGAAGAGTGACATCTATGAAGAGGTTATGCAAGTATGAGCATCCATGCTTAGACAATAAAAGAATGGGCTGCTTTAGCAGCAATTATGCTTCCAGGAAAAGCATGTAAAGGCAGAGACACACTGTTTAGCTTTTCCTGACCTCCAATGCTATATCTCACAGACACTTCATATTACTGCAGCATGGAAAGAAGGTCTCTGTGTGTTGTTGGATTCCCAAATGGACACAGCAGGATACCAGAAACACTTTGCTTGTTTCATTCAGTATTTAGCTCATTAAAAGTAGTGTAGGGAAGGCATGAGTGAGAAGAGAGCACTGCTTGAGAGCTCCAGCAACTCTCAGTTGTTCTGTGTTTAATCACCACAGATGGGTCAAAGAAGAAAAACGAAGATTCAGCTTCATGCTTAGAAGGGCATGGTTTAGCATAGCTTAACTTAAAAAAATACTCCAATCTCCTTTCACCAAAAGAAAATATCCACAATAGCAAATATGTAGATTTCTCTGGAAAATAAGAGCTTAATAGAAGTTCACCTAAGTAATAAAATATAAAAATAACAGCAATGATGTCAATATTAATAAAAGTTTAACTCATTTCAATATTTTATATTTGATTAGCTGCTGCTGGTATGTGAGTATAAGGTAGGACTATTAACTGCCATCTTGAACTCTAGAGTTGCAGAAATAGAGATCTAATAATTAAAAATGCACAAAGCACAAAAGTATACTGTTGGTTGTAATATACAAGGAGCTTTGACATCACCATCACACTCCTTACAAACAATAAAGGCATCTATCTGAACATTTGAAAATGAGCAACTCTTCTCAGATACTCGGAGATACAGGAAAACCACTTTTTCAAAAATGAAAGAAGGACAGGAAGTAAGGTGGGAGGAAGATGGAGAAAGATTGAATAGCAATTTATGGCCACAGATGTTAAGGACAAAATAGAACCTAAGAAACAATTGTAAATGACACATCCCAGGACACAGTCTCACTTGAAGCAGTCAAGCCTTGATTCAAAGAACCTGAATTTTGGAACCAGGCGATGGTCTATTCACAAAAATCACCTATTTGAAAGCCTGCCTTCCACCCTTCATGGGACCCACATCGAAAGGCAAAAAGTCACTCCCAAAAGTTTCCCTGTGACCAATACACATTAAGTGACAGGAATGTGATATACTGCACACACCACATGCACATGTGCTCCCAAACACACAGACACAGACACACACACACACACACACACACACACACACACACACACACACACACACACGGGAGTATGCCTGAATAAGGATAAAATAGTAACAAGAAAAACAAACTGAATTTAAAGCTCTAGGATTACAGAAATCCGTTACCCACACTACAAACAAACAAATGGGGTTCTGTATAATAACAGGAAAATATACCTGAACAAAAGCTCATATTTAAGAAGAAATTTCTCTGGATACTCAAAGGTAGCATATACCCAGAGCAAACACTAAACAGATTAACCTCTTCTCATAAAGCCTCATACTAAAGGACTGTGTGCATCCAGTTGCTTGTATTCCTTATATAACAAGCTGTCAGAAGAAAAGAACAACAAAAAGCATATACATGACATACTACACGGCAAAAGACAGCATAGCTTAAAGAACTGGAACAAACTTCAAATCAGATTTTGAGATGGGAAAGAGGCAGGTGGAGAACTTGCTATTTTAGCTTTAAGCAGCATCATCCAACAAGAAAAGATATACAAGGTCAGATGAAAACTCCAGTAAAGGCAAAAAGAGACTGTTACAAATAAATACTATATCAGAAATGAATAATGTCCTTGTTGGATTTTATGGACTCAACACAGTAGAGGAAAGAATTGGGGAACATGAAAACAATGTCAAAATTTCAAGTGGAACCACCCCTAAAAACCAAACAAATGAAAAAATAATAGTAGAACAGGCTACTTGAGGGCTATGGACTGACTACTTCTCGCATGATATACATCAAACCAAAGATCTGGGAGGACTTGAGAACATCTAGAAAGATAAAAAGCAGCACAGGCATTTACCAGCACCTAGACAATCAAACTCCAGAGATGCAAAGATAGAGAAAAAAACTTGAAGAACCCTATTGGGAAAATATCCTTCAATTTTCAATGAGGAAGTAAAAGGATACAAGGCCCTTCTCTGTGGATTCTTGACTATGCAAGTCAAAAGGGGGCTGTAACATAGAACATGAAGTATTTTTAAACACTAAAAGATGTCAATAAGAAAGCCTCTGCACTCTAGGAGGCCACTGGTATTGGATTAGTATTTTTCCCTGGTTCAAGAAGATACTTTGAGAGCCCATCCCATGTGAAGGGATGCACTCTTGCTCTGGACACATGGGGAAGGACCTAGGCCCAGCCCAGGATGATGTGGTGGACCTTGTGGAGCCCCTGTTGAGGGCCCTACCCTGCCTGGGGAGTGGAGGGTGGATGGGGTCCGGGGTAGGTCAGGGTTGGGTAGGAGAGGTGAGGGTGAGGGGAGGGAGAGGGAGAAGGAATTGACACGTGAAACAAGCTTGTTCCTAATTTTAACTAATAAAAAAATAAAAAAATTCTTTGTCAAGTCAAATGTTATCAAAGAATAATAAAACCTTGTTCAGATAAGTAAAATATTGAGGAAAATCTTTGTAGACCTAATTTGCAAATAAAGTTAGGAGGATTTTTCTTATCAGATACAGGGAAAATAATACAGGCCAAAATATAAAATGGATAAAAAGTAAGACTGTTATAGAAGAAACAAATTGAAACTTGAATTGTTTGTTGTTTTTATTCCTCTTTAGTTATTCATTCAGATAAGTTGATGCAGATAATAAGAATATTCTTCTATGTTGCTTTAGCTTTTGGATATGAGAAATCAATGATTGTTACAAAAGAAATGTAGGGAAAGTTGAAAGCATTCTATTATGAAGTATTTAGAATACCTGGGAAACTGTACAACATTATTTGAAAATGACCTTGGATTTGTTTTAAGTGCACATTGACAACTTATGAGAAAACTAAATATAATTTGAAAAGCAGAACCATTGATAGACTCAGAGTAGAGGATTTCAACCTAGTAAAATGCTGAAGTAAACCAGAAGTGAAAATACAATGGTGAGTGTGGTAGGGAGAGGCAAGCAACAGTATGGTAGCTATTTATTCAAGTATCAATGCTTGCTTCAAATACAAATATACCAACTGAAAGGAGGCATTTTCAGAGGCAACTAAATCTTAAGATCCAAGTATATGCTTCTTTGAGGGAACCCAATTAAATATTAGGGCATAGATAGATGAAAACTAATAGGATGAAGGAAAAATAAACAGTGATAACACTAATTGAAAGAAATGTAGAGAAGCTGTATTAATGTTGGGCAAAACAGATTTCAGAGAAAGAAAGATTTAACAGGGATAATGAAGTCATTACTGTAGACTCAATGTTTTGTCCTTATAGGCAAACATGTTGAAGCCCCAAGGTGATGCTATTCAAGTGTGCAACCTTTAGGAAGTGATGAGGTCCCAGGAACTGCCCTCCTCAATTTGATTAGTACCTGAGTGATGGAAGCCTGGGGGAGTTTGCTGAGAATTTTTCTCATGTAAGGACAGACTAGAAATAATATTTTCTACTTACAAACTGGTTACTCATTCTAAAGTCTTTTGTTATTGTAGCCCTAATGAAGTGAGACAAAAGTAGATCATAAAAGTTTCCTTAGTGTATGTGTATCTAACAACAGCATATCAAATACTTGAGGCAAAAGCACATGTATCTGCAAGGACAAGGGAAAATAGTCTATTATTATAGCTGAAGACTTGGACCTTTCTTTACCAGTGATTGACAGATCAGAGGAGGACAAGGCAGTCAAGACATGTTTGAAGTGAAAAACATCAATCAACCCGGTCTCATTTACATTTATACAATGTTTCATTTAGCAGCAGAGTAAGATACATTCTTCCCAAGCTTACATATAAATGTCACTAGAGTGGATGGCATTCTGGAAAACAAAACACACTATAGCCAAGTCAAATGAATGGAAGTGATACGGCTCTCAGAACACAGTAAAATTAAACTAGAAGACCATAATGGGTAGATAACACTTTGAGCAAAGAAGTTTCAGAGTAAACTAAATGATGTTTCAAAATAACTCAAACTGGAACCATCAGAGTTTAATCACATGTTTGAAATCTAGGTGTAATGAATGGGTCATTTTTGAAACACACTTAAATCAGCACTCACTAAGAGAAAAATCATTAATCAAAATAGAAATTTACCTGTTAAAGAGTTTGAATGGATCAGTAACTTTCCAAACAATACAAAAGCCCAAGCCAGCATTAGAAATGAAAACTACACATCAATATTTCTCATGAACATTAAAAGGAAAAAATAACTCAAAATTACTAACAAATAAAATCTAACAATATATTAAGAATAATCCAATGCCACAAGCAAAGGGAATTTATTCCAAGCATATTAGGCCGGTAAAAATTCAATACTGATTCAATATATCAGTATATCAGTATATCATATCAATAGGCTATAGACAAAAAGTCTTATATTCACACATGTAAACATATATATGGGATGGAAAATACTGACATAAACTCTCAGGAGTCCTGGAGAACCAGAAACAGCCACCAGCACACACAAACAGTAAGGACTTTTGGAAATTTTATATAAATAGAAACTGTTTGGTGAAAACACACAAAT